TGGAAAGTCGAGTTAACCCACACGCGGCTGTTCTTTCGGCACCATTATTAGCAGAAATGACGCGATCGTGTTGCGTGAGAGGCTGCCAGTCCCGGCATGGCAGATCGGGGGACGAAGGAATCCGATTTTTCCGTTTTCCAACCTGGAAACGATCGCATGGACCTCAGTTGGAGGAAATAACAAAGAGACGTCGCATGGCCTGGCTTTCAGCAGTGAGGAGAAAGGATCTCATCTTCAACAAAANTTTCATCCAGACAATTAATTTCTTTGTGGTTAGACTCGGTGCTGCCCCAACCTGTTGCTCACCACATACCAAAATAAATAGTTTTTCAAGATCCAAAGTTAAATTTAACACTGTTACCATTAGTTATAAAACTAAGAAAATGAAGTCTAAGGAAGTTATCATCCAGAATGGTAGAAAAATGTTCCTTTAGTAGAGTAGAGCAGTAAAGCTTCTGGCCTTAACAGTTTTTCCTGCATTATTTTTACTTTTATAATTTAAGTAGTTTTATACTTTTACTGGAGTGAAAAGCTGAAGTTGATCCTCTAACTTCTACAGAAGTGCTTTTAAACAGCAGGATTTATACTTCTACTGGTTGTTACTGATGAATGTTTTCTACCAAAGTAATTAAAAAGTAAATGTATTTTGTATATTTGGTTGATTTTCAGGCTGATGTTTTCAGATTTATCTGGATCCTATGATGTGAGCGTTTGAAGCAGCTGTTTTTATCTTAAACTCACTGATTTTATAGCTTTAATGTGATTTTAGCTGCTGCTGTGATTCAGCTTAACAAACTGAACCAGGCTGGTTCTGATCCTGCCCTTAACTGGACCAGAACCACTGATCTCTATTTATTCAATGGATTGCTGATTGCCTGAAAAAAGTGAAACCACCCGCCTCCATATTGGTACTCCCCACTCCCACAGAGATGTTCAGTAAATGCCTCCCTGTGCAGCATTTAGCTGCATTAACCAGCAGCTTTCTGTCTGCAGGAAGACGGTCCACTGGTAATTTCCCAGTCAGTGGATGAACTAAGCAATAAATCCATCTATAGCCGATGGATCCTATAGTTTAGTCTGCATACTAACATTAGTCTGGCTATCTCAGACTGACTGGAAGACATTGACTGAGTTAGACACTGACACTGGGTCTAACGTTAGAAAATAGAAAATAGAAGAAATAGAAAGTCATTCACTGTGAAATTTTAATGTAGGAATTCTTTATTAAATGGATGACGCTGTCGTTAGAGTTTGTTGAATTTCTCATTTGAAAATGTGCTGAAATATATTGCAGGTTATATTGATGGAAAAAAACAACTCAAACATTTTTAAAGGTTAATTCACAGACACAGCTTTAAGCATACAGCATCATTGATGCATAATCTGCAAATAGGAAAATACTAAAACATTAACAGACATTTACAGGTGCTGGTCATAAAATTAGAATATCATGAAAAAGTAGATTGATTTCAGTAATTCCATTTAAAAAGTGAAACTTGTATATTATATT